ATAATAATAATAATAATAATAATAATAATAATAATAATAATTAATAATACTTCATAATCCACGTTTTCCACAGAAATAGGGTCTATGAGCTAAATGGAAAATCAAAACCCAAGCCCATTATTAAATATGTCAATAATACTTTTTTCTCTTTGTCATAATATTCAACCACAGATCTAAAAACTTATATACACCGACATGATATTGCAGTAGCAAATGTCTTCCTGCAGAGGTCAGTAAAGAATCTTTGAAGATCCTGACAACTTTGTTCCCAGGATAGCTGAGAACCTTGGACACACTTCATGTTCAGTTTTCCCAGGTGTGAGAAATCTGGGCGTAACTATTAATCAGGTATGCAGTTGTAAAGTTTTAAAGTCTTAAAACTGTTTCTGTTTCAAACTAATACAATCATACAAGCTATTGTTATGTCATGCCTTGACCATTGCAATTCATTATTCCTTTTCCTGGATCACCTGCAAATAGCTCAGAATGCTCCTGTGAGGCTGCTCACCTGGTCCTCTAAAAGGTCCCGTGTTACACAAAATCTGTCGTCTTTGGGAAAACCATCCCAGAAGCTTAGCGTTAGCTTGATTTATTCATTTTAGACCAGTTTTATTTTCGGTTTGGGATCATGGTCCTGTTTGAACACCCAACTCTGTCTAAGTTTCAACCTTCTAGCTGTTTTGAGGTGAAGAATTTGAAGGTATTCTTCCTTCTTAGTTATTCCATCAACTTTGTGCAATGTAACAACCACTGGCAGCAAAACAGCACCATAACATGATGCTACCACCACCATGCTTGACAGCTGGTACAGTATTAGTTTTGACAGCCACACCTTTACTCCTCCAAACATACCTCTTATCATTGTTGCCGAATCACTTGATATTTGTTCATTCTTATCATAAAACATTTGTTAGAAGGCTCGATTTGGCTCGATGTTGATTTTAAAGCAGGGGCTTCTTTCTCGGTCAGCACCCTCTCTGTCCGTGTTCCAGCAGTTTGAGTCTGGCTGGTTCCTGAGTTGTTCCTGAAAATCCTAACCAATTTCCCCTCATCTGATGTTGATAGTTCAGGTGTTTTTTCAAGAATTTAGCAAAGTGATGTCACATTTGAACAGCATGTACCTACATATAGAAAGAGGCCTTCCCAACCTGTGTAAATCTACAATTTCCGTTCTTAGATTAGACATCGAGTTCCTTGAAATCTCCCATTGTTCTGAGTGTTGGTAATTCCAAGGAAAAGCTACAAGTTGTGGTCAGTCATGATCACTAAGAAGTTAAAATGCTTTGTCAGGTTAAAAGACAGTGTGGAGCCTTCAGCACCAATTATTAAAGATTTAAGAGAACATGTGTATATATTTGAGTCTGCATGTATATTTTGACCCTGTGTGTATTAGGAAAAATCCAGAAGTCATTAAAGATGTTTGCTGTCCAATCATTAGAACCTGGAAAAAGAACAGTTCAAATAAATCGTTAAGGGCCCAAAATTACCATGATGTTCATGTTGAGTACATGTGAACCTCTGACTACAGCTGTATATGTAACTGCTGGGTCTCCGAGGTAATCCGACCAGCTCTTTTTATGTATTCCTAGATCCAGGTTAAAGACAACAGGAGACTGGGATTTTGAGGTTGTGGCTCCCAAGTTGTGAAACTCGCTTCCAGTAATTGGACCTTCTTTTTTTTTTAACAAAAAAAACCCCCTTTAAGACCCACATGTGTGAGATTTGCTTTAATTGGTTTTATCCATTTGTAGTTTTAACTGTTGTATCCTATTTTGTACTGCAAAGCCCTGTGATGTTTGTTCTTGAAAAGTGCAGTTTAAATGAACTTGTTTACAATCAGTCACTGAGGAGACTCTCTCTGTGAGGAAAACAGCGTTTATTGAAAACAGTGTTTGAGACAGCATATGTCTCAAAGACGATAAATCATACCGCGTACATTGGCGGAATGATTTACTTGCTTTGCATGCAGATTTGCAAAATGACCGAATACTGCAAACACATGAAAAGCAGCGCTACACTACAAAGTTCACCAAGTAAACAGATCACCTGTGTGAACACTGATTTAAAGCACTTCAGATGCAAAGGAAAGGAAACTTTGTTCAGCTGCCTCTTAAAAGCGTCTCTTCCTAAATTTCACTGAGCTACACTGTAGATGTGTATAAGGACCTATGCCCTGCCTATGCCCGAGAGAAAAGGATTAAAGGATTTTCATTCATTCTATAGGTATCCAGGTGAACTCTGACCTTTTTATCCAAACATTTAGATGTTGATGAGATTACAGATTTTCACTCTGGGAAATTAAGAGTACTGCTTTTAAAACATTTCACTTAAAAATTATGCATTTTAATTTGACTTTAAGTTAAAAAAAAACAACCTCTTCACAGCATGGATAAAACAATCATATGTAAACATATTTTTACACACTAGATGCTTTTACGGAGAGAATTATTCCCATTTTTGCACCAAGGGTAAATACTGTAGATGTGCACAATTTAATAAATGTTGGCCACAAACGTTTCTTTGTTTCTCTTTTGATATAGTGCATAGTTGACAAAATATCTTGTAGATTTGAAGAATGTTTACATTTGTGGTATTCTTGAAACAAATATTTCTAAATTATGCTTTTAATGCTTGAATATCCCTTAATAAAAATATAATTTCCTGTAAGAAGATTTAAAGGGACCAGTTTTCCCCTTCTTCTCGGCACACTGTGTGCCAGATTTTCACTCTGAACTCAGTTTAATAGCTAACTAGTCTGGAGGGTGTAGACAGCCATATGCTTCCCTCACAAAAGCTGCCAACTAGCTGGAGCGCCCCACTCCAGTAAGCTGAGTGGTTTCTTTCTTTTCTTTTCTTTGTCCCTGTTCTAGTTTCACAGTGAAGCATATTAGTTTGTTCTATAAAGAAGAAACAATCAGTGTGCATGACATTGGTGGTTTCCAAAGCAGTGTTCCAGGGTTTTCACCGTCCTCTTGCCAAATTTCACCTTCCCTCGGTTCTTCAGGGAGGCGGTGTACTGGTTGGACTTGAGTTTGGAGTAGTAGTCTGAGAACTTGTTGAAGAGGATAGATATGGGCAGGCCATTGAGGATGATTCCAAAAGCAATGCAGATGAAGGCAAAAATACGGCCTAGCATGGTCTCTGGATAGACGTCTCCGTAGCCCACAGTGGAGATGCTGACCTGCAGCGAAGACAGGAAAATGGTCAGTGCTGATGGAAAAAACATCCCAGAAATAAACAGTAGGCACGTTTAGCCAGGGCCCAGCTAAACTGACCTAAAGCTTTCTCTGCTTTCGGCTGCCTATTGTAATCTAAACCATCATGTTGTATTAAATACGCCTTCAAACGAATGACTGAGGCCACCAGGAAAGTGTTTACTGAGGTTATAGATGAAGTGAGCAGCATGCTCATATTCACACTCACTTCTAAACAGGAGATGCCCCCTGTTGGCCATAAGATAGAATGTACATTACAGCCAACTTTTCTATACAGCTTATGGACGGTGTTAAGAGAACTTTCTTTTGTAACTCTCTTAACCGTCCTAACAACAAGCCTGGCCTCCTCTTTAGAGTACAGCGTCCATGAACAAGAGTTTGTAAATGCTTCTGTATATCTCAGTGCTGCAAATTGTAGGTATGCTAAAAATAATTATGTTAAAAAAATGCAAACGTTCATCTATCTATTTTCCACCACTTCTCAAATTCCAGGTTGTTTCCAGGCTAGAGCCTATCCCATCTGCCATGGGGCAAAGGAGGGGGTACACCCTGGACAGGTCCCCAGCCCATCGCAGCGTTAACACACCATGCCACTACTTATTACATCTGATTATTAGATATTAATAATAATCACTGCTACACGACTACTTACGGTGAGATGACACATGACAATTTGTTTGTACATCAGGACATGCACTGGCTAGCAAACCACCTTTGTAGTAGTTATAAATCTTGCCCGAGAGTGGTTCAGTTTTGCTGAATTTCACTGCTTTCCCCTCCTGCTGACAGACTCACTGTCAGGCTGTATTGTGTAAATACATTCAGACATTTAGTTAGAAAGCACCCACACTGCCCCTTGATCCATGAGCACTTTTGTCAGACACCAGTTCAGTTTTCATAAGGTATCCTGCCACCAGACTGCAGGTAAACTGTCTTAGAAGTAGGTGGTTCGATGACTCACTGTATGTGAATTTACATTAATGCAATGGGAGTCGGTAGCCTTGAGCAGCATTCAGAATTCTATAAACATGACCATCATTCAGAGGATTATTGTTTCTTTCCTTTGGATTAGATGTAAGATTCTACCACCTGGTTTAGGGGAGGGAGGGAAAGGATCTGTTAATGGGTTTATTCATGGTGGCAGGCAGACTCTGTGAATCAAGATGTTAACCTCTTAAACTCCAGCACAGACACTACTGGAGTTATGACTGTTCCACCCTCTAAAACTTGACAAGGTGCCCCACAAAATATTCAATACACAATTCCTAGGAAGCGCAGGGAGACATGTCCTTAATCAGAGCTGACCTCATTTGTTTTGTAAGGTGGTATCGCCCAG